GACCTATTTTGGAAGGGCATTAGTATGTTCAGCTTTGCATTGGCTGTAATTCCTCTTGGTAAAATAGTCCACCCACCAGCATTACAACTTGAGAATGGTCACTTGAGCAGGCGTGAGTGAGCATCTAGTGTCCGTGGAATTGTGCTCCAGCAAGTTTGCGTCTTCAGTGGAAGTAAAGTAGGAAATAGGACCGGGTCATTTGTTCAGAGATAGTAGGAACTGCAGATGCTGGAGAATCCGAGACAACAAAGTATGATTACGTCAAAGGTGTTTCTGATGAAGGGTCTAGGCCCGAAACGTCAGCCTCTCTGCTCCTATGATGCTGCTTGGCCTGCTGTGTTCATCCAGCCCTGCACCTTGTTGTCTCCAAGTCATTTGTTGTTCTTTTCCAGTTACGTAATCCATTAAACTACTTCAAATGTTTAGTTAAAATGCTCTATCCAAAGGACAGCATTGGTTTAATTTCAGGATCCTTAATGCTACCATCTGATTTGTTGATATGTTTTTTTTTGCTGCGATGTGCAGAAACAAATCTTTTTTCTTTTGTTTTACTGTCCTGTGTATTGTTAAAGCTTTAGCTGTGAACAGTGTTAATCAGTGAAGTGACAGGAGGTGATGGTGTAATGGCATTGTCACTGGACTTGGAATCCAAAGATCCAGGAAATGTTCTGGGTACCTGGGTTCAAATACCACCACAGCAGAGAGTATAATTTGGATTCAACAAAATCTGGAATTAAAAATATAATGATTACCATAAAACTATCATCAGTTGCAGTAAAAACCTATCTGGCTCACTCTTGCCCTTTAGGGAGCGAAATCTGACGTCCTGTATCTGGCTTACACGTGACTCCAGTGCTTTACTTTTAAGTGCCCCACTGATAGTGCCGAGAAAGCCACTCGGTTATATTCATCTGCTTAAAGAAAACGAAACTGAGGAGATTGTCATTTCTGGCACATAGGTTGATGCTAGGCAATGGCAAACTTAGCTGTTGACATTGCAACGTCTGGGGCCAGTTCCACAGTTGGAAGAATGCTCTGAGACTAGACAAGAAACACCTTTGACGTAATCATACTTTGGGAACTGTAACTTACTCTCAATATCCTAGACAACATGGGAAGTCATGTTGAAGTTGTACAGGACATTGGTGAGGCCTCTTCTGGAATTCTGTGTCCAGGTCTGGTTTCTAAGTTACAGGAAGAATGTTATTGAGCTGGAGAGGGGTCAGAAGAGATTTACCAGGATGTTGCTGGGTATGGATGGTTTGAGTTATAAAGGCTGGATAGGCTGGAACTTTTTTCAGTGGGACGTAGGAGGTTGCGAGGTGACCTGATAGAAGTTTATAAAATCATGAGTGGTATAGATAGAGTTAATGGTAGTTGTCTTTTCCTTGGGATAGGGGATTTCAAGACTAGGGAGTACATTTCCGAGGAGAGAGATTTCAAAAAATACATGAGGGCCAAATTGTCTACACAGAGGGTGGTTCACTTGTGGAATGACCTTCTTGAGGAAGTGGTGGATGCAGGTATAATTACACCATTTAAAAGATATTTGGATAAGTACATGAATAGGAAAGGTTTGGAGGTGTAAGGGCCAGGAGCAGTCAGGTGGGACTAGCTTAGTTTGGGATTATGTTCAGCCTGGACTGGTTGGACCGAAGGGTCTGTTTCCGTGCTGTCTGATTGTTTGACTCTATAGCTCCATCCCTGGGGATGTCCTGTCCCAGCAGCAAGATAGACCCAGCATACGCAGCAGAGGGATCAGTACAGTGATATATAGTCTGCTGGAAACAGTTCTAGGATCCTCAACATGAACTTCAGACCCCATAAGGTCTCATGGCATCAGGTCAAAAATGGGCAAGAAAATCTCCTGCTGATGACTGTACTACTCCCACTTCGGCTGATAAATCAGTATTGCTCCCTGTTGAATACCACTTGGAGAAAGTACGGGGGGTGGCAAAGGCACCTGTGGATGGGGGATTTCCATATCTATCATCAAAGTGACTTGGTGGTGCTGCAACGGATGGAGCTGATTGAGTCCTGAAGGAGATAGTGAGAACTGCCGATGCTAGAGTCAGAGATAACAGTGTAGAGCTGGTGAAAACAGCAGGCCAGGCACCACTAAAGGTTTCTTCAGGACCTTTCTGAAGAAGGGTCCCGACCCGAAACATCAACTTTCCTGCTCCTTTGATGCTGCCTGGCCTGCTATGTTCCTCTAGCTGCACGCTGTTATATCTGAGTCCTAAAGGATATAGCTTCTAGATTGGGTCTGTTCGAGATGGTGAGGGGAAAACATATTTGATCTCATCCTCCCCAAACTGTCTGCTGCTGATGCTACTGTGCGTGACAGTATCAGTAGGACTGACCACCACACAGATCTTGTGGAGATGAAGTCCTGTCTTCACATTGAGAATGCCCTCCATCTTGTCACATGACACTGTCATTTTACTAAGTGGGATAGAATTCGAACAGATCTAGCAACTGAAGACCGGGCTGTCGTGTAACACTGGACCACCAGCAACAGAACAATTGCACATGAACAATCTTCAGTCTCATGGGCCAGCATATCTTCCACTCTACCATTGCCATCAAGGCTGGAATTCAGCCATGGTTCAATGAAGAGTGCAGCAGTGGATCCCAAAAGCAGCACCAGGCAGACCAAAACTGGGGTGTCAGACTGGTGAGGCTACAGTGCAGGACTTCTGGACAGTCAAACAGCAAGTGTTCGACAGGTCTAAAGGGTTTCATAACCAATGGATCAAATTTAAACTCTGCAGTCCTGCCACATCTAATTGTGAATGGTGGTGGACAATTAAACAACTTCTTGGAGGAGGAGGCTTCACAAATAGCCCCATCCTCAATAATGGAGGGTGCCCAATACATAAGGTGAGGTTGAAGCATTTGCAACAATCTTCAGCCAGAAGTGCTAAGTGAATGATCCGTCTCTGCATTCCAGATATCCCAACTATCCCCACCATCTCAGATGTCAGTCTTTAGCCAATTCGATTCATTCCCGTAGTATTAAGAAGTTGTTGAAGGCACTGATACTGTAAACACTTTAGGTGCTGACAACATTCCATGTTGAAGATGTATGTTCCAAAACTTGCCACATTCCTTGTCAAGCTGTTCCAGTACAGAAACAGCGCTGGCATTTATTACCAATGTGGAAAGTTGCTCGTGTATATCCTATAAGCAGGACAAATCCAACATGTCAATTACACCCGTGTCACTCTGCTGTTGATCATCAGTAAAGTGATGAAAGGAGTGATCAGCAACACTGTCAGGCAGCACTTCTTTCGCAATAACCTGTTCTCTAAGCTGGTGGGATCTGCCAGGGCCACTCAGCTCCTAACCTCCTTATTGCTTTGGTTTAAATAAGGACAAAAGAGCTGAATTCCAGAGGAGAAAGGAGAGTGAATGCTCTTGGCAACAAGGCCACATTTGACAGGAATTGCATCAAAGAACTCTAGCAAATTTGGAATGAATGGGAATCATAGGGCAAAAGCTATGATGGTTAGAGTCAGACCGGGTAAAAACTAAAGATTTTGAAAGTCCATCATCTCATGTCCGGGACATTACTACAGGAGTTCCTCAGCTTAGATATTGTCAAAACAACCTCTTCAGAGATGTTATTACACATCTCTGGAGCAGGCAGGACCTGAATGCAGGCCTCCTTGAGTTCCTTGACTTAATGCCTGAGGCCCACCTATTCTTACTTGGTTTATTTATAATCTTCCCTCCATCATTAGGTCAGAACTGGGGATGTCCACTGATAGTGATATTCAATACCATTCGTGATTCCTCTGATGCTGAAACAGCATATATATCCATATGCAACTAGAACTAGACAAACATCCACATTTGGGCTAAAGGGTGACAAGTAACACCTACACCACACAAATGCCTGGTAATTACCATCTCAAATAAGAGAGAATCGAACCATCACCCTTAACATTCAAGGGCATCAGCATCACTTAACTCCCCCAATATCAACATCCTGGAAGTTACCATTGACCAGCAATTGAACTGAACTGGCCATATGAATACTGTGGCTACAAGAACAGGTCAAAGGCTAGGAATCCTACAGCAAGTATTTCCCCACCCGATTCCCCAAAGCCCATCCATCGTCTACAAAGCGTTGTCAAGAAGCTTCCATGACAAATGCTTTGTAATCGCCTGTTCATTGGTGATATTCCACACCTCTAGAACAGATGGGACAGGCTTCATGGCTGTGTCCCACAAGAGCCCACTTGATTGGCAATGCATGGGCAAACATTCCACCATTGTAGTGGCAGAATGTACCATCTACAGGATGAACTGCAGAAATTCACCAAGGCTGTTTAAACAGGACCCTGCAAGCCATGACCACTACCATTTAGAAGGGCAGCAGATACACAGTAACACCAACACCTGCAAGTGTCCCTCTTAGACACTCTCACATCCTCACTTGGAAATACATCACCTTTCCTGCAGTGTTGCTGAATCAAAATCTTGCCCAAATGGACTGCAGCAATACAAGATGGCAGCTCACCACTACCTGAATGCAAACTAGGGATGGACAATAAATGCTGGTCCAGGCAGCAATACACAGGTCCCATGAATGAGTTTAAAATGGGTTTTCAACAAATAGTTCTTGTATTGCTTATCAGTTTTGCAATTGGCTGCTTTGTCTAGATGAGCATGTGTGTGAGTGAACAATAAAGAAAGATTACACTAATATAGCTTTTGATGTTTAGATATGCCATGCACTGCCTTTGAAGTGTAGTCGTTCTTGTAATGTAAGAACTGTAGTAGCCAATTTATGCACAAGCCCCTACAATTGGCAGTGCGTGAATTATCAGATCATACGTTTTTATGATTATTGATTTGAGTGATAAGTCAAATTGTCCAATCTCCTGATGAACTCCTTGTTCTATGAAGTAATTTCATGGCTGTCTTATGTCTGTTTGGGGTACCAGGCAGATCTATAGTTTAATATCTCCTCCTCAATAATGTAGCAATTCCTGATGTTCCCTAGAGGCCAGCAATTAGGTGCTGTTACCAGAAATTGTGCAGTTAAGTAGCAGACATTTTACAAAGGATGACATGTATTATTATCTGTTTACATTTTATATCAGTGCAGTGCAAATTACAGTGGGTATGTAATTCTGTGTACTTTTAAATATAAATTTTAAAAATTGGTGTTGTAGAGCTAAATCTGTTGTATTAATTGTCTCTGGTCCTGCAAGGAGATGGTCCCCTATCTGTGAACAAATCTCCATATTATAAAGCTGAGCCCAGTTGATCTATAAAGATTGAAATGGATATTGGCAGGTAATACCTAAATAAAGTAATGTAAATAGGTTTAAAAGGTAGTTGAAACAATTCTATAGAAAGGGATAGGGTTTAAAAAGGTGAAGAGTTTGCTTGATTTAGAGAAAGACTTTGAGCAGATCTTTCCCTTTTCTGTATTTTTACATCATGATTGCAGAACTTAATGGAGCTACAAAAAGGCAGAAGACCGGCATTTGGTTAACCCTGCTGAGTGCTGTTGATTAACAGCACTGAAGGCAGTGCTTCTCAAGCTTTTTCTCACTGTGACAGCATTTCAGTGCTTGAAGATTTACATGACCCACAGTGAGAACTATGGAAGCAGTTTAGAAGAAGGTGGGGAGTGATGGTGCTCAGTGGTAGTGGGGCAGCTGCAACACCAGAGCAGGGAGGCAAAGTATTTTTTCAGGGTTTTCTTTTTCAGAACCTATCTTTCCACTGTTTTTAGAGCAAAATCCAGTCATGCTACACCTAGCATTTGTTTTTTTAAAGTACAAGGATTTAAATGTTCATTTAAATGTTGATGTTAACACTAAATTGCGAGTTCCAAAGCAGCCGTTGCTTCCTTGGAGCTTATGACTGCAAATTCTCATCTCCCAAATTTGGGAAGCCCTAATTTAAGGGGTAACTTAATCAGGAGACAAACTTAGCACTATATCTACTTAAGGTAAACTTGAAGGAATCATGAACTAAACAAATAAGAGACTTGCTCATTACATAGTCTTAGCAGAGCCATGTATGCCGTTCATGTGCCCATTTTGTCTTATGAAACAAATGATGCCCTTGGAGGCACTTGAAAATGCTCTCTGAGTCTCAACAAAATTTCAAAAGTAATTAATAACTAATCCAATTGAGGATGGAAGGGAGAATTTTGATAGGCTCCTGGTAATTTTTGTATCCATCACAAAATTGCTGTGTCCGGTAGATGGCAGCAAGAAATGAATATCCTGTCAAATGTGTTCAGAGTTGCAATTTAGCAAATATCTTGTGTAAAATATAGTTGTGTTGCTGCAATTTGTTCAAAGGTTGTATTCTCTAGAACAGTGGTGATAAATTAATATGAACTACATCGGAAGCTTTCACAGTGATGGAGGGTAGAATCACCAGTAGATTCTTGCAGGCTACATTGTTCCCAGAAATCAGAGTGGAAAGAATCCAGGACACCAAGTGCAGAAGAAAAGCCAGAAGAATAAAGGCCACTAAAAATACACAGGCGCCCATTTCCTTTGGTGTATAACCTTTGGACAAAAGTCAGCGTTTTCTAACTGATCCACCTTGTCAAAATTAGTAAAATTTACTCTGTCGTTTAATTTTGTCTCCTTTTTCATATATACTCTGTGTACATCGCTGTCTGAAACTTGCTGCTCACCCGACTTTATTCCTGTGCTTTGCTCCCTTTGTTCCCCTGACTGTTTCAAAAGCAGACTACAGCAAATGCTGGAATGCTGAACCAAAAGCAGGGAACACTGGAAATACTCAGTGGTTCTAGCTGTATGTGTGAAGAGAGAAAGACAGTTAACATTCCAGGTTGATACCTTTATCAAAAATGGACTAAATTAGAAATGTAATGGGTTTACAACAAGGTGACAGGAGGAAAATAACTTGGTCTCTGATGGAATGAAATATAGGATAGATTCAATAACACAAGGACTGGTAATGGAACACAACAGAAACCAAGAAACAAAAAATGGACGAGAATAGATGCACTACTGTCAGAAAGGAAAGTAAGATAAACCATAACATGCAAAAACAAAGGAGATGAAAAGGAGGGATAGGGTCAGGGGTGGCAGCGGTTATAGTCTGAATTTGAAAAACTCATTGGTCACTCAAAGCTGTAAGGTGCCTGATTGAAAGGTATGGGGCTGTTACATAAGCTTAAATTGAATTTCACTGGAATACTGCATTAGGCTTCCACCTCTGCTGGACCATTCAGCCACCATGATCTGTACTGTCTTTTTGAAAGACCAATCCATTTACTCCCAAGCTTGCTTCATTTAGTACATCCTGAAACTAGTGTCGTCATTTTATTTTTTAATTGAAGTATATTTATAGTTGGCATTTACCAGCTCACTTTTAAAAATACTCCACTATTGCTCTACACAGTCCCATGTGCCAGTTTTGCCTTTCTCTAGTCAACTAGCTTGAAACCCATCCAGTTCTTGTATTGAGTCTTTCTTGTTGAATCTTGAACCTGCATGTTAATTCCCAAAGTACTTGCCCACAGTTAGCTTAGAGTATATCAATGTATGTTGTGATACTGTCACTGTAGAATCATACCCAGTCTAGTTCACATGGTAGCTGTGAAAAGAGGAGTACAAAAGTAAAATTTGCCGGGGTTTCTGCATGATGTCACAGAACCTGACTGAAAATTCATTGAGTAGATCCATTTGTGGTATTATCTGCAGGTAGAGACATGCTAACACCCCAGAAGTGGTCTTTTAGTTGTTACGGAGAATACGTGTGTTTGGTAAGAACTGACAGCCATTTTGTTTCAAATTTGGATCAGAGGAAGGAAATCCTTGATTCAAAAATTGGTTATTAATGTTTTAATTGTAGAAGTTCATCCCGTAATTCTTCAGGATACTGCTGACAATACATTCATATGTTTCCACAGCCCATTGTTTTCAGCAGCTTCCAGGATTTTGTGGGTAGATTGCAGAATTTCCTGTCTGAAGTGGTTAATCATCTTAAAGAATTGGAGACAACACTCACTGCACTGAAACTCGAAGAATTAACACTGGAAAGTCCTTCAGCTGTTCAGGTACAGAATATCATAAAGTCTGCCCAGGAATTTCCTGTTGGACATTAATTATTTTCAGATATTCATGATCTTTGTTTTTCCTGTATTATTCACCATTCCTTCACAAATCATAAGGAAATGTCCCTGCATTCCTCTTGGGTCCCCTTGAGAATGTTTTGAGAATAGTGCCACCAGCGTTGGCTGAGGTGCAGGAGCAGACAAATGGACAGTGATGCTATTGATATTGATAGTTTTCTTCCAGACACTCTTCACAAGTGGTTGGGAAGAGATAAGGAAAGAAAGCAATGCTAGCAGTGGAGGTAGCTTCTCTTGGAAAAGTTTGCCAGTGTTTCCAGTGGCTACAGAATTTTGCTCCTAGTTTCCTGAAATTGTTTTACTTCCTTTTTGATTTTATGTTCAAAGAAGCACTTTGACAGTTTAGTTTCTTTTTGCATTTGATAGTCTGTGTAACTCTATTGCATTTCAGATTGCAAAATTGCAATCGAGTCATTTATTCAAGGGTATAATTTAATTGACAGGAAGTGATGCATCATACTGCTATAGATGCTAATGCAGAGATTCTACTGACTTCTACAAGTTCCCTTACATTAGGTAATGGGTAGACTGGGATTTTTTCACTAGAGCGTAGGAGATTGAGAGGTGACCTGATAGATGTTTATAAAATAATGAGAGGTATAGGTAGAGTTAATGGTAGTTGTCTTTTCCCTAGGATGGGGGAATTTCAAGACAAGGGGGAAAATTTTTTACACAAAGGGTGGTTTACAGAATGAACTTCCTGAGAAAGTGGTGGATGGAGGTATAATTACACCGTTTAAAAGACGGAAAAGTACATGAAGAGGAAAGGTTTGGAGGGATATGGGCCAGGAGCAGGCAGGTAGGACTAGTTCAGTTTGGGATTATGTTTGGCATGGACTGCTTGGACCAAAGAGTCTGTTTCCATGCTGTATGACTCTAGGAATGACTGCCCTTGATATCAAAGCTGCATTTGACTGATGTGGCATCAAGGAACCATAGAAAAAGTTGAAATCATTGGGAATTGGAGTAAAGCTCTGCTGGTTGGAGCTATGTCCAGTACAAAGGAAGACAGTTATAGTTGTTGTTTGTTGATTATCTCAGTCCCAGGGCACCACCACAAGAGTTCCTGAGAGTAGTGTCCTAGATTCAACCATCTTCCATCATAAATCAGAAATATGGATGTTTGCGGATGATTGCACAGTGGTTAGCAGTATTTGTGACTCCTCAGATACCTATTCCACTCATGCACTTAGACTGGACAACATCCAGGTTTGGGCTGATAAGTGACAACTTATGTCCTGCACCTCCCTTCCATGCTGTGGGTATACTCACATTTCGAGGACTGTGATGGTGAAGGCACTCACCACCACCTTCTCATGGTAAATGCACACTGACCGAGCCAGCAATGCCACATCCCATCGACGACATGGTGGCTCAGTGGTTAGCATTGCTGCCTCACAACGCCAGGGACCCGGGTTCAATTCCAGTCACGGGCAACTGTCTGTGTGGAGTTTGCATGTTCTCCCCGTGTCTGCCTGGGTTTCCTCCAGGTGCTCCGGTTTCCTCCCACAGTCCAAAGATGTGCAAGCTGGGTGGATTGGCCATGCCAAATTGCCCATAGTGTAGATTAGGTGGATTATAGGGGGCTGGGTCTGGGTGGGATGCTGTGAGGGTCAGAGTAGACTTGTTGGGCCGAAGGGCCTGTTTCCACACTGTAGGGATTCTTAAAAAAAAATCTGGACAAACATGGGTGGCATGGAATGGAGTAGATTGCGAATTAGATGTTTTCTTGCTGGGACTGTCATAGTTCCAGCACTTGGAAATTTAACAACCTTGCAAACCATGGCAGTCTTGGCCACCTTGATGCAATCATGAAACCAGCTGCTTTCACCTGTGCAATTTTCCACCAGCAAAGTGGCAATGAGAACATTTTTCTCCTGTCAGTTGTTCAAGTCTAGGTGGGTAGGACTGGAACTATGTGTATACAGACATGTTGAGCTGAAGGTTCTGTACCTTTTGCTGTACTTTTCCATGTTCTTTGTATGTGCAGTATGATCAACCGATGAATGAAGAGGGCAAAGTAAGGTAATGCATTAATCTGATATTGAAGTCCTCTGTTCTGGAAGGTAAATCAGGAGTGATGGTTATTGAGGTTGAATAAGGTGCTTTCATGTCAATTCCACAAGTGTTTTTATTCTTAATAGTGTGGGTATTTATCGTGTAAGTGAGCATTCATTCTGCAATTTACATTGAGACAAATTTGCCTGGAAAATGTGGAACAACAACTGAGATTTTATGTATATCTGCAGGACTGTAAAATCCCTTGTGCTTGCTGCCTCTTAAGGGAGTGTCAGTTGTCCGGTACATACTGTACCCAGTCATTGTTCTACTGATAAGTACGGTCTAACTGGATCAAGGTGGCTTAACAGCTTTGCCTAGTTGTCTGGCAGATTAAGCATTCTTATTCATTAGCCAGATAGATCTGCACTTCTCCACTATTAAGAATTGATCAGCCATTCAGGATTATTGATGGATCTGAAATGGCCATCATGTTCACTGGTGATTTGGGATTCTTCTCAGTTTGTCACAGTTGGCCCTGTTTTAAGAATAGGTTTGTTCTAATAAAATAATCATCAGAGAGTTTGCTGATATTATACATTGGTGAACAACATTGTTTTTGGCAGCTGTGTGCTTTTAATGTTTGCAAGTGCTTCGGCCTTGACTCTTGTAAGGCTTTGAATTTTTGGAAGTTAGTGTATTTGAGGAATACCCTGGAAGGGTGCATACATTTCATATCTGGCAAACAGAGACCACTTGTGCAATTCCAACAGTTGGTGTGTCTACTTAAGAATGCTGAGTGGGTAGTCATCCAAATAAGCAAAGCAAAATGAGAAAGTTTAGTGGTACTCTTGTTGATTTTGTTTATTCAAACTTTGTTGTCTGGAGTGACCATTTTGTACAAAATTAGGGTAGTTATGTTAATGACTGGTGGGAATAGTAATGGATTGCTTTGAGTTGATTTAAGATTAGCGTACAGTGGCAAACCAGAAGGCACTCAAGAATTAGTCTCTTCCACCTGTTCTACAAGTTAAAACTTGTACTCAAAACCCCTCTCTTTAAGGAAAACAATAAAACTATTATGTGTGGAATATTAACTGGAGAGTTAAACAGTATTTTGTTTATTGTGTGACAGTTGCCCGACTAAATGATATTCAGTGATAAGGGAAGTGACTCATGGCATTGTTTCAGAGGAGAAAGTAATTTTAAGTGATTTGGTTCTCCCTGCACCAGTACTAGGAGGCTCTTGGATCCTTGAATGAAGTTATGCACGTGTCCCCGCAATATGCTTAAGCACTGTGTGTAGTGGCTGTTTTGGTTCTGCTGCAAAACTTTCAAGTATTTTTTAAAAATCTGTTAGTCATAGAGTCAAAGAGTCATACAGCACAGAAACCAGTCCATGCCAACCATAGTCTCAAACTAAACTACTCCGACTTGCCTGCTCCTGACCTCCAAACCTTTCCTATTCCTGTACTTATCGAAATGTCTTTTAAACATTGTAATTGTATCCACATGCACCACTTCCTCAGGAAGTTCATTCCATGCACGAACCATCCTCTGTGTGAAGAATTTGCCCCACGTCTGTTTTTTAAATCTCTCTCCTCTCGCTTTAAAAATATGTCCCCTCATCTTTAAATCCTCCATCCTAGGGAAAAGACACCTACTATTAACCCCATCTATACCCCTCATTATATTATAAATCGGTATAAAGTCACCGCTCAACCTCCTATGCTCCAGTGAAAAATGTCCCAGACTTTCTTTATAACTCAAACCTCCCTTGCCCAGCAACATCCTGTTAAATCTCTTTGAACTCTCTCTAGCTTAATAATATCTTTCCTATAACAATGCACCCATAACTGGACACTGTCCTCCAGAAGAGGCCTGACCAAAGTCCTGTACAACCCCAACATGACTTCCCAACTCCTATTCTCAAAGGACTGAGCAATGAAGGCAAGTGTGTTAAATGCATGTGGGTTTCCATTTCCAAAGACTTAAGTCATGATCAATCAAGTTCCATGTGGTTTGTGCACTTCTCTACATGGCATTCCCAATCTAGCTATAGTGATTCCCTTGCTTTCCTACACAGCAAAGTGACCTCAGTTCACAAGTGCCCCATTGGCTGTAAGCTATTTTGGGACAGCCCGAGGTCATGAAAAGAGGTCTAAAAATGCAAGACCTTATTTGAATAACCCCATTTTCCCAACTTTAGGAAACAGGATTGTGGCTTCATTTACCCATACTTGTGGAGTCCTTTTCATTTTAAGAAATGATTTAAAAAGGAAATTTAGATGGGCACTTGAATGAACCCAATCCAACCTATCTCCCTCCGAACTGACTGCACTCCATGTGCTTCGATCCAACCCTGACCATGTTATTAAGCTTGCTGATAAGGGTGGTGTGGTTGTAGTATGGTGTACTGACCTCTACATTGCAGAGGCTGAGTACCAGGAGATATCTCCTTCTATCTCCATTTTTACCAGAACCCCACCATGGAACATCAGGCCATTGTATCAACTATGATAACTGACCTCGTTTCATCTGGTGATAACCCTGCCCATTGCCTCCAAGCTGATAGTGCCCCAGCGCCACACAGCTTGCTTCTACCTTCTTCCAAAAATCCACAAACAGGACTGTCCAGGTAGACCCATTGTTTCCGCCTGCTCCTGACCCACAGAACTCATCTCTTCTGACCTTGACTTGGTCTTTTCTTCTCTGGTCCAGTCCCTGCCCACTTACATCCGAGATTCCTCTGACACTTTACTCCAGTTTCAGAATTTCCAATTTGCAGGCTCCAATTGCCTCCTCTTTACCTTGGATGTGCAATCTCTTTACACGTCCATTCCCCACCAGGAGGGTCTTAGGGCTCTCTGCTTCTTCCTGGAGCAAAGGCCTGAACTGACCCAACCACTGCCACCCTCCTCTGCTTGGCTGAACTCATCCTCACCCTGAACAACTTCTCTTTTTAACTCCTCTCATTTTCTTCAGGTCAAAGGGCTGGCCATTTGTACGAGGATGGGCCCCAGTTATGCCTTGTCTCTTTGCGGGGTACATGGAACATCCATTGTTCCAGTCCTATTCTGGACCCTACCCACAACTCTTTCTCCGATATATTGATGGTATCATCAGTGCTGCTTCCCTTTCTCGTCTGGAATTGGAAAAGTTCATCTTTTTTTTTTTAAACTTCCAATTTCTACCCCGCCCTCACTTTCACCTGGCCTATCTCTGACTCCTCCCTTCTCTTCCTTGACATCTCGGTTTCCATTTCTGGGCATAGACTGACCACTAATATCCACTATAAACCCACTGACTCCCACAGCCAACTGGACTGTACATCCTCACACCCTGCTTCCTGTAAAGATTCCATTCCATTCTCTGAGTTCCTCCATCTCTTGGCACATAAATTCAGATGAGGCCAACTTCAATAAGGGAGCCTCTGAAACGTCCACCTTCTTCCTCGATCGAGGATTCTCCAGTACTGTTGTCGATAGGGTCCTCAACTGGGTCTGCCCCATCTCCCGCACTTCAGCCTTCATCCCCTGTCTTCCTTACTGCAACAGTGATAGGGTTCCTCTTGTCCTTACCTACAATCCCATCATCAGCCACCATTTCCGCCACTTCCAGCGAGATGCCACCACCAGGCAGTATTCCCCTCCCCTCCCTTGACTGTCTGCCACAGGAACCGTTCCCTCTGGGAACCCTGGTCCACTCTTCCTTCATTCCCAACACCCCCTTCACAGCCTCATGGCACCTTTCCCTGCAATCGTCAAAGGTGTAGCACCTGCCCATTTACCTCCTTCCTCCTCAGTATCCAAGAGCCCAAACATACCTTCCAGGTGAAGGAGCACTTTACCTGTACTTCTGACAATCTGGTCTACTGCACATTAGGGAAATGAAGTGTAGACTGGGTGGCTTTGCAGAACACCTATGTTCTACCTGCAAAAATGACCCTGAGCTTCCAGTTGCCTGCCACTTTAAACACACCACCTGTTTACTAGTCAACAGCTCTGTCTCAATCGTGCTGCAGTGCTCCAGCAAAGCTCAGTGAAAGCTGGAGTAACAGTAACTCATTTTCCACTAGGGGACCTTGCAGCCCTCCAGATTCAATATCAAGTTCAATAATTTTAGGGCCTGAACTCTCCCATGTCCTAGCCCCCAACCCCACACACCAGGCCTTATTATCACATAGTCTGCCATTATTCACTACCCATAGCTAACCCACCAACAGTTTCCATTAACAGCTGTTCACTCTCCTTGCTAGATCATTATCCACTCCTTTGTCCAATTGTTCTTCTCTCTCTTTGGGCTCTGTCCCCACCCTATCTTCTGCATATAAACTGACATTTTCCTGCCTACCATCAGTTCTGAGACCCCCACAGGTTAACTCTGATTTCTCTTCACAGGTGCTGCCAGACCTGCTGAGCTTTTCCAGCAATTTCTGTTTTTGTTTCTGATTTACAGCAACCATTGGGTTTTGAACTCTTTGGGCTCCAGATAATGCGATTGACTATTCCTGCACAAGGAGCTGGCATAGAGTTGATGAGTCATATAGCTCCTTCTGAGCCACAAATGACTGCAAAGTGATGAGGAGTGAGAGGATGATGCTCTTTTATCTGATAAACAGTACTTAAATGTATCTAAACATTAGAAGCTGATGCAGGTACTGAGCAAACAAGAGGTGAAAAAGCAGAACTCCAAACGATCCATCAATGATACTACTTCATTCTGTTCTGTTGTCGGTTCATCTAGAAGGATATAAAAATGCAGGAATTTTCTTTTCCTCAAATTAGCCATGGGCTAGTGTTTTCCATGACATCAATGAATTTGTGTGTGTCGAGAGCACTGGGCTAATTACCATGTGATTACAAAAGACAGGATGAATGGATCACCAATTTTTTTTCTGTCAATTTGCTCATGTTATTCACATAAAAAACAAAACTGTCAAAATTGTGCAATGTCTGCACATGTATAGAGTTAGTGTGTCCAAGTGTGTGAATAAACACACTTTGCTGTGTTAAGAAGTATATACAAGCATCTACAGTCAAAAATCAATGAAAGTGATATCTCTAGTATCATAGGTCTTTTTCCTGCAATTTGTTTGACTGCATTTTAGCTATTAAAATTGTTTTCCTCAGAATTGATTCTCCCTTTATAGTCATACTGCTTAGTGCACAACAAGAGGAATACAAGTTGTGATGACACAACACTTTTTTGACAATGCAGCATTCTTTCATATCACAATGAAATGATAATATGCCCGAGTTCTGGAAAGGGGCTTGAATCCTATAATCTTCTGGTTCAGGTGAGTGCTGCAAATGAGTCATTCTATTACATTCAACTACATTCAAATTAGCATTCTCACGGAGAGGTAAACAGTAACCAATAAGGTAAAATATCACACATGCAATAGGGGGTTAAGTAGCACAATGGTGCTGTAACTGGTGATGAACATTGACACTAAGTGCACAGAATAAAGAGTGTTCCAGTCCCAAACACTTGTATTAAATGCAAAAGGACACAAAAGGAAAATAGACTGTTAAGTAATAGACAATAACATTTGTGCTACAGTGTGTACATGGTTTGAGATGTATGCAGTTTCTGGGATGTTTTGGAGTCACTCGGACCAGGGGAGGTGTTGACCTAATGGTATTTTCACTAGATTGTTTAGGCAATATTTTGGGAACCGAGATTCAAATCCCACCGTAGCAGATGGTGGAACTAGAATTCTATAAAAATCTGGAATTAAGAATCTAATGATGACCATGAAACATTTGCTAATCGTAGGAAAGTCCCATCTGGTTCACTAATGTCCTTGTTAGGAAAGTAAAGTACATGTGACTCTAGACCCATAGCCACCTGATTGGCTCAACTGCACTCTGGGCACTGCTGGCCTAGCTAGTGATGCCCATATTCAGCAGATGATTAATAAAAAAGAATTACTTCATTACTGCTGGTAACTGAACAAGTAAATTTATTTTTGTTGCTGGTTTCAGGATGAGCAGAAGTTTTCCCGGACGGTGCGAAGTAAAATACAAAGCAGCTACCAACGTTCTCTACAGGAGATTGGAGAACTACTAAGAAAGAGATTGGACATGGTTAAAAGCCTGAAAATTTAACTGTTTGAGGCAGAGGAAGAAAGGGGGAAACTGACCAGTGAAGAACTGCACGGCTATGCCGTAATACCCCACTATAATTACAGTGTGTTCCTAGGACCCCATCAGATACATCAGCTGATGCAGAACATTTACCAGAAAGCATGAAGGACTTTGCAACAAAAGAGTTTAAAGTAAAAGGTTTTTAGAACAAAAAAGGTTAATAAATTATGTACATAAATTCAGAGTCAGAGGCCTTCTCTCAGACTTGGCAGCAATATTTTTAGAATCCGTTGGGTGTTTCTCTTGTGTAGTTCTGTGCATGTTTGCACCCAGCACCATCGCTACTAGATGCTGAAGAGTCAAATGAAAGGTTAGACTGTGTTCAATAGCAAATATAGTACCTGTTTAGGTACTGACATTTTGACTGCAGCTTATACAACACATGGGTGTACAGAATGTATATGATAAGTACCACGTGTTCCATCATAATTTATTCAACTTTTAATTTTTTTTAATTTGTATAAAATTTGTGTTGTATAAGCAGAACTTTCTTTCACAAACTGTTCTCCTTTATAGACCTGGCTCCTCAAATCCATTCCCTTATTTGCAATTTTCTTTCTGACCCTGTTTTATTAAGGTTAATTTGGGGGATTTTTTTTGCTTTTTATGTGCTTGCTTTTCTATCAAATTTTTGTTTTGTTTGAATTGTGTGTGAGAGCTGCTTATCCACACCTGATTACTGATGGTCTTGGTTCAGTGTTCATTGCAGTATACACCTGCAGAGCAGACTGTGGGGAGAGATTTCCAGACAGTGTAATCAATGCCGTGAGGCATTAATGTTGTCTCTCTCATTTCTCAGTGTATTCACTGCCTCTTTGTCAAACAAGGAAAAGTGTGTTAGCATCTAACGTACAAGAGCATCCTTTCCATTGTCTTCACAGCTGCTGAAGACAGGACTGAGGAAAAGGAAAGCCTAATGTATTAAAACAGTTCTCAATCAGAGAGTATACTTTGACAGAAGAGCCTAAATTCCATGAGGCATACTCAAATATGAAACAACAGTAAGGTTTGCATTTTTGTTGCACTAATCCCTTGGTAGTATTTGTATTTTGTTAACACCACACACTTTGTTGAAGGCTCTCTATCATGTTGCAGCAACATTAATTTGTCAAAAATAACTTTCAGTAAAATAACCCATAATCAGATACACTCCAAGCTGTATCCTTGCTCCCCCACTGGTGGAGCATGTAATATGTTAAAACTATAAAGACCAAAATGGTGAACAATTTGCTAATTGATCTTTGCTAAATTTACTAATTTCATTGGGGTGGCATTACAATTGCCTTTAATAGTTCAAGGTAGGAATGAGAAAACATAAATCCATTCCTCATATGAAGCTGCTGATCCATCTAAGAAAATTATGTGAGTATTGAGTGAGACTGAACTTCAATATATCTTTGGCACTCTCAGAAATAAATACCTGCCAACAATCAGTGTGGACTTGTGTCGAAAATCCTATTATTGACGCACTGCTAAAGGGCTTCTGTGAATAGACTGTTTCCAAATGTCAATTGGCACTTTTTTTTAGAAAGGGAAGGAAGGGAAAGGAGCTGTATAATTGAGTGTGCCAGTAAAACTTGTGGATCAGTGAGGTTTGTATGTATCGGAACCATTTTATCTTTATATAAATAGCCCTGTTTAAAAACATGACCATTAAATTGGAACATAAAGGCTAGAGAAACTGGGGTTGTTCTCCTTAGCAGAGAAAGTCAACAGATTTGATGTGTTCAGAGTTATGAAGTCTTGATAAAATAAATAAGGAGGACTTTCCAATGACAAAATGACAATTAATAGAGAATGAGTGCTTAAGATAATTGTGAAAAGAACCGGAGGTGGGTGGAGAGAAACATTTCTGCAGCTTTGATCGGGAATACAATCCTAAAAGGATCAGATTGAAAAGTAGCTTTCAAAAGGGAATGGGAAATGGAAAAAGTTGCAGGACTTTCTGGAAAACCAAGAAATGGGACGAGTTGGCCAGCTTCCCCCAACATCTGTCATATGCATGTTGGGCTAAATGCTTTCATTCTGTGCTGTATCTTGGTGTGATTGAATGGCATACTGAGTTGGCACAGTCCTTTAAATTCTTGGTTTAGATCCAGTCCAGGCAATCCCTTTCTGCTGCTAACAAGAAGAGCTTGAATTTTGTTTCATCTAAATTCCTTAGAATATCTCTCAGGCCTTAATAGCATTGAATAGAAATATCTGGTTTATTGTGGATTCATAAGTGAATTTGGGATAACCTCCTATTACTGAGACAGTCTAGGTACCTTTACTGCCCAGTCAACCTGCACAGATGTGAACTTTGTCAGCTTGACCAAACAATTACATGTTAAATAGTGTTGATGTAGTGACATAAATGCAATAAACAATATGGTTTTGTTGTTTTTAATCCAGATTTTGGCTTATCGAAGTAAAACTTGTCGTGTTTTGTATTAGCAAGTTATATATTTTCTCATAGCACCACATATTTCACGATATTGGAAGTAAAGTTGCATTTAATGGTAGAGTTGATTGCATATAGTGGAGGTGACATGACCCTTGGTTGCTTATATGTAAGGTTTATACAATAATTTGATCAACTATATACTGCATAAGACAAAGCTGTATGTTCTCGTGAACTTGATCTGACATTGAACAAACAGGGTCTTGCCATCGGCTATAAACTCTATTTGTAATTGTGGAACAACCAGGAGACAGTCAGAATGTTTGTGACCATAAATTTTGCTACAGTGTTGAAAGGCCTGGTTGTGTGTTATTCCCTATTGTTAACATTTTCCCTGGCCCAAGCAATATTTTATTATAAGATCAGCTGTTGCTTTTAAAATCTAAAATATAATTTTCAAATAATCCTTCACTTTAAATGATGAATTGAATGTGTGAAAATGAAATTGTGAATGTAATTGCAAGAATATCCTGTTTTTTTTTTTAAACAGGTAAATTGAAGTTAGCTCATCAGTTTCTTTTTAACCTGAGTTTGTATTTTCTCTATATATTGTTCTTAGTTCTTTTAGTCCACCTTAACTCAATGTAACTGTGCAATCAACTAGAACCAGGCAAATTCGTCTTTTGTACCTTCCCTCCCCAGAGAGTAAGTGTCTGTTTTTCCTGGCCCAGCAAAGATTAGGACCAGTTTTGTGCAGAGTAATGAGGTTAGACTTGCATTGTACCAGTCTGACTGGAACACTGTGGTTCTGTGTGTCTTGATTTTACCATTTGTGTTAATGTATGCTCAGTATTTGAGGCAATTCTTACAAAGGCACCATTTGAGCAGAATTCTTGGTTATTTATATTTTTTTTTTATAAAGCTCTAAATCCCAACTGAATTACCTAATAATTACAGAAACCTTGTATAATGGTCTAGAACATCAAATTCATTTGAGTCTAATATCCTTAACTGCACAGGACCACACACGCTCATCATTGAGACCTGCACATTTTCTAAACTTCCTTGAGCAAATAAACTTGCATATAACTGCAGAAGAGTCATTTAACAAATGAAAATGTTTATCCCATTCATCTATTACTACTTGGTAATAGTTGTTAAATTAATTTAACTTTTCATTACTTCCCTGTACATTTATTTTCTTAGCCAATTAAGGGATGCTGTGAGCTTTACAATTGTGGCATTTTGTGACAGGGAACGTATATCTGCTGCAGTAACATTTCCCAATTGTTAGTTAACCCAGTCTGACTTCTGACATCTCAAATGGTGCAGTTTGGAACAATTTATTGAGAAACTCTCCAAATCTGCCATTCGGGAGGCAATGGCCAAGCGGTATTATCGTTAGAGATAACAAGGTGTAGAGCTGGATGAACACAGCAGGCCAAGCAGCATCAGAGGAGCAGGAAGGCTGAAGTTTTGGGCCTAGACCCTTCTTCAGAGCCTCATTACTTCTGAAGAAGGGTCTCGGCC